GATCTTATGCTTTGGAATGTAGTGAAGTAAAAGTTACTCAAAATAAAACTCCTCCAGTAAAGTACAATACTTGATACTTGAAAAATTTACTTAAGTACAGTAACGCATTAAAACTACTCCGTTACTGTCCACCACTGATAGCCATTCAACATTACAGTATAATTAAGAGCTATCAATAACATTTATTAGACTTCTAATTTAAGTGAACTTAAAACAATATTCACATAAACCATTACAATAAATATCATATATAGCTACCTGTGCCCTTTGGCAAAACCATTGCATTTCAGAGTGGTTGTTAATTGTGACTCATATAACAAATACTTACATGCATGCACAGTTTTAAGGCAGATTTAATCACCTTTTTGGTAACTTCATGACTTAACTGACGAGATAACTACAACACTGCATGCTCGTAGTTTCTTTTGTGCTTTAATATTAAATGATATAGGCTAGAGTGCATGCCTATTTTCTTGTCAAGAAAAAAGAGAGAAGCAGAAGCTGTGAGTGGGGTGGCCAACCCTAGCTCTGTCCCTGCGTTAATTGTGTTAAATATTTTTTACCTGTTAAACTGAAAAAATGAATGGCATTTATGAATGGCGTTAACGTGTTAATTTTGACAGCACTATATATATATTGTAGCGTCTGGACCAATCAAATACACAATTTTTCATTTGATTTAACAAATCAGTTATTCGTTAGATTAACAAATTGTCACAGTCCCCTCACCCAATAAACTGGATGCCAGGATGTGGCCCCCCCCTGGTTACCATGGCAACCCTAACACCAGATACATTTACGACCTAATGGAATGTGAGCAGGGAAAATCACTGCATGTCTCATAGCAAGAGACAAATGCACAGTAGAAATGGACATTTCTACTAATTAATTCATAGAAAGACCTTTCTTTGAATGAACACACATATCCTTCAGATCATGGTGTATGTTGTCTTTGAGATTTTATACTGTTTTATGCAGGCTTATGGTGGAAACACTCATGTTCACCATGTTTAGTATCTATGAAAATAGCCTTCTGATGATCTAAACGAGCGTGTATATTATATGTTGGTACATATCAAACTGGTTCTTTTCATCAACTAATTTCAGCAAGATCTTGGGCCTTAAGATTGCATCAGGAATCTCTTTCAGACAGCCGAGACTCGCAAGTATCAAACTTAGTCTTATTAATTGATACATTAAGTATCAGTTACACCTTTTTACAAAGGTGTGTTTGAACTCAGAATCTGACGTATCCCTCAGGCTTAGATCTGTTGAATATGCAAATGGTTCCATAAATGTCATTCCTTATGTCTCTTTCTGTACTGAGCTAAACTTTAACCCTTTCCTGTATGTGTGTGAGTTTATGTGTTTATGTAGGATGTTAGACCAGTTTATGTAGGATGTTAGACCAGTTTATGTGTTTATGTAGTATGTTGGACTAGTTTAAGTGTTTATGTAGTTAATAAAACCTTACTTGTATCACACTTGACGTGTTCATTGTTTGCTCATAACCGGAGTCACTAATCATGCAGATTTACGCTATTGACTGCATATATACAAGCCTAGTAACCTGGTGGTCATTACTGTGTTTCACTCGCTGAGTGAAAGTAAAGGGGTAATACTGTACTTTAGTGTGAGGCACACACATAACTGCATATATGTTTAAACCGGTTTTAACTTACAGTAAACCCATTTTGTAATTCTTTAAACAAGTGCAAGAAGTTTGTTACATTAGAGAAGCATTCACCGAAGTGCTTAGGTAATGCAACAAGTCTTGAAGGCTGAAACCACCACATTTTAAAACTGTGGGCAACTTCTTTGGAATAGGCAGACACTAAACAGTTGAATTACACTGGCATGCATTGGTTACCGTGACAACAACTTGTCACAGGAAGCGCTAACTTCACATAGCACAACACGCCATGTTGTAAACAAACCACCTGAAGCAGCTAAGCTAACACGACTTAGCATAGTTTCATTTTCGGCTAAGCTACCAAATAGCTTTAACAATTAGGGGTTAACACACTGTAATTGAAGCTTTTAAATACAGCATGTGTGTATGCAGTGTGAAGTAATTTGAATTTAACCTAATCCCCGGTTTCTGGTTTTTCCATTTCTCTTCCTTCTTTTTCTTCTTTTTCTATGTTTCTCAATCTTCAATTCGTCTCAGCGAATTTAACTATCTTCAAAGTATCCTTCCTGAATGCTATTGCTTAGTTAAGATGTAATTAAATCTAAATTTAAGTTTGAACTAAGAATCTGATGTCTCCTTGAGGCTGTAGATCTGCTGAATATGCAAATGGTTCCATAACTTCATTCCTTATTTCCTCTTTACTGCTTAAGCTTTAACCCTTTCATATACCAACTGTATGCGTGTGTGTATGTGTATGTTAGAGCAGTTTAAGTGTTTATGTGTATGTTAGACTAGTTTAAGTGTTTATGTAGTTAATAAAGTCTTACTTGTATCACACTTGACGTTGTTCATTGTTTGCTCATATCTGGAGTCACTTAATCATGCAGATTTATGCTACAAGCGCTGTGTAGAGTTGTACAGTAAGAAAGTTATTTCCTTTAACCAGGAAATTAACGTTCTTAGAATTGACAGACAGTTGACCCTGAGAGGTCAGCTAAATATCTACAGCGGATCTAAATATTTATAATTAATTATAACTAGTTATGATTAATTATTCATATTTCCCCATGAGCTGATTCGCTACAATATCTTCTTTTGTGTTTGGAATGTAAATTATTTCATTTTTTCAAGATGTGTCCACATATGTTTGGCCATATTTTTCTATAAGTTTCTATAAAATTATTAATAAAAAATATGCATGTTTAATTAATAGTTTTACAATCTGATCAGACAATTCAGTTCACTTCTATGATCATCTGAGAGTTGATGACTGTTAAACCTTTATGATTGACACACCTGAGGCACGGGCGGTTTCCAGCGCATGTTCTTGAGAGGTGCTGGGGTAAATCCTGAGGTTCCTGTGGGCCTTTTCTTTAAAATAAGCACCACGCTTTTAGGGTCCTCTCTCAGCTTGGCCACCAGGTTCTTCAGCTGCCAACCCACCTGGAGCAAACAAGCACAAACCCATAAGTACTACCAAAAAGAATTCTGCTTATACAGACACAGGCTCTTCAGATTATGCAGTGAACATGGTTCCAAACAGCATTGCACGAATCCTTTTCAAATATGCCAAATCCAGACTGTACTGTGGAGAAATTCATCCAAAATAGCAGATGGAGTGAGGAGCAATTGCAAAACACATATTTCATTCAATACCAAAATGTATAGATGAAAAAAGGGTTTAGTTTAAAGTGTACAACTAATGTACCACCATACAATACAAATACCTTGTGGGGAGAAATACTCACCACTGTCTGGTGGTTGACCTGGATGACTTCATCCCCAGCATGGATCTTGTGTGTCATATCAGCTGGGGACTAGAGGGGAAATTCTATGAGCATTTGTTTTCTTGAAATATTGATGTTTCTGTTAAAACCATTTAAAGGGGTCATATGATGTGATTTAAATTTTTCCTTTTTCTTTGGAGTGTTACAAGCTCTTGGTGCATAAAGAAGATCTGTAAAGTTGCACAAACTAAAGTCTCAAATCCAAAGAGATATTCTTTATAAAAGTTAAGAGTCAACCAAGCCTACCTAAAACGGCTCGTTCTAACACGCCCCCACATATCTATGTCACTATGTGGAAATATTAGCATAATGCCGCCCAAATGTTCACGCAAAGAAAGGCAGCATGGTTTCAGTAACAGCAGTCGTGTTGAAGCAGCATGTCAGGGAGACACTGTGTTTCAGTGCGAAAGCAAAAGCACATTATTTGGCCTTTCCGGCAGTAGATGCAATTAGGAATCATTGGTTAAATTTATTTACAACAGAACAGCACAACCCAAATGTTCGAATTTGTGTAACGCATTTTATGGACGAGTTTTTTGAACTTAGAAGAGTACAAGGCTGGCTGTGCACAAAGGCTATTTCTAAAAAAAAAAAAAA